GGTCCATATTCTTTTAAGCCTCTTTTAACTCGTTTATCTGTCACTCTAATACGTCCCTCTCTCTAACTCCTAGTTTCATCTCTTATTCACTCATTTTAATTTATCTTTGTGTCATAACTTCTTCATTCTCTCTCTACTCATCTCTTCTCTCACCCTTGAGCACTCGAGTAGAGGTCTTCTTGAGATAGTCCCTTAGGGTTCTAACTCTCAAACTTCCACTCTAACCATCAGTTCACATAGTGTTGTTGAGTAGTAAGAGACACTGATTCTCTTGAGCTCAATCATTCGGGTTGGGGTCAGCTTGAGATAGCTTTTCTTATAGTTTTAACCCTTACACTACTCTAATCACTGGGTCATACAATGTTCGAGCTGTGAGAGATTTTCTATCTCTTCACTCTCTTCTCTTCTCTCCCTTGATCACTTCTTAGGAGTTTCTTTGGGTTAGTGACATAGTTACGGGCCAAGACCCGTAACTCCACTTTCCAAATCCTCAGAGTACCAAGGCTTTGAGCTTGGTGCTTTTCCTTGTCTCTAGTAATACCTCTTAAGAGAGGTTACGTCGAGAGGCTGCCCAATTTTCGGGTCATCCCTTAACTTCCTTTAACTCATTTTCATCTTTTTCTTCTTCTTCTTCTTATTTCTAAACCAAGCTCTCATCAACTTACTCTTGTTATTTTCTTTATTACCTATTTTCCTATCACTCTACTCCCAAACACTATAATTCCTAACCCACAAGTGCATTAATTTATTATAAGTAGATTTTTATTAGCAATTTTTTTGTGAGAGTTCGAGTGAGGTGTTGATTTCAGAGGGGGTCGAATTCAAACCACGCTGCTAGACAGCCAGAGGGCTTTCGTAATTGATCTAAGAGGGCTATGGCTTGGGTATATCCCACGAACTCATTCGCGGTGAGGTAGGTGTTCGAGTCTACCTCTTTATCACTTTAAAATCCTCTCACCAATGAAAATACCTATCCGTATGTGGTACGCGAAGTAAACATGCATGCACGAGTGAAGCAGTTGTCCGAGAGGGGGTTCATTGAGCCCAGGTCCCTAAGGGAGCCCAAGCGAGGTAAATCCTGGCCCGACTAGTACCGACTTTACTTACTCCAATAATTCGTCTTTTAATAAAAAAATGTCTAAGTTGGATAGATGTTTACTTTCGCAGGGATGGGATGCGGCTTCCCCTAAAGTTTTGGTGAAGGTTATACCTTAGTTGGCGTTGGACCATGTCTCTATTCTCCTAAACACGGACCTGGACACCTCTAGTCCCCTTACTTTTAGGTTCGAATTGATGTGGCTTGAGGACAAATCTCCGGCCCAAGTTGTGGGGGGGTCCTGTTAAAAGTTGGCCGAGTTTTGTGCTTTTTCAAAAGCTCAAATTTCTCAAGGGCAAACTTAGATATTGGGGTAGAAGTAGATTTTGTGATCTAGATCACAAAATTAATTCCTTGGTTCAAGAGATTGACTCTAATAATGGTATGGAACAAAATGGTGGTGGTCTCCCTCTGGATCTTAAAGTGGAGAGAGAAATGAAGAAGGGGGCTTTGGAAGATCTTCTTCATTTGGAGGAAATCTTTTGGTTCAGATCAAATTTGGTCAAGGAGGGGGACAATAATACGAAGTATTTCCATTTTATTGCAAATTTGAAGGCCAAATGTAACAGTTTGAGTGGGATTCAGATCCCAGGTGTTGATTGTGCTAATCTGCAGGCTCTAGGGGATGTTATTATTAACCATTTTTATTATGCTTTCTCCTCAAAACCCAAACTTCCTTTTGACATGGAAAATATTCCTTTTAAAACCTTGAAATAGGAAGTTGTTTTGGGTTTAGAGACAAAATTCACTCTGGAGGAGGTCAAGAAAGCAGCTTTTTATCTCCCCAGGGATAAAGCTCTTGGCTTAGCTTTCTTTTTCCATGAATTTTGGGATGTTATTAAAGTTGATCTATCTGTTGGATTAACCAGTTCTATTAGGATGGCATTGTCTGTAATGCAATTAATTCTACGTTTATATCCATCATTCCTAAGAAGACGTCCGTTATGTCTCTCCAAGATACCAGACCTATTATCTTGCTATCAAGATGCTATAAGATTCTAGCTAAAACTCTCGCTAATCATCTAAGGTTAGTGATCCACGAGGTTGTTGAGAGACCCCAGACTGCTTTTATAATAAATAGATACATTATATATGGTATTATCTTGGCTCAGGAAACTATTTATACCATGTCTAATATTGGATCCAAAGGTCATTTACTCAAGCTAGACTTTGAAAAGGCTTAAGATAAAGTTGAGTGAAATTTTTTGGATAAAGTTATGGAACTTATGGGTTTTGGGAGTAAATGGCGACGTTTGATCGTGGGTTGTTTGTCTTCAACCCATTCTCTATCCTAGTCAAAGGCAAAGTTACTAGATATTTTAAAGCATCTAGAGGACTTTGTCAAGGAGACCCTCTCTCCCCTTTTCTTTTTAGCCTTGTTGTTGAGACTTTCAATAAAATGTTGCAAGTTGTGGTGGACTCCAGTATGATCAAAGGCTTACATGCTTGGCCCAATGGTCTGATTCTGAGACACTTCTAGTATGCTAATGGCATGCTCTGCTTTTAGAAGGGTCACAAGAGAATATTCAAAATGTTTGGCTTTTCTTGAAACTCCATAAACTTATGTCAGGAGCTCGTTTAAATATGGCCAAGTCCAAGATAATTGGAATTAATTGCAATTTTGAGGATATCTCAAAATGGGTCCACTGGTTGTATTGTGAGGTTGAATGTTTCCAACCAAATATATGTGGCTGCCTCTTATTAATGGCAGGGCTCCTAAATCTCTTTGGGATCCCCTCAGAGGGCAGAACATAAATTGGATGGTTGGAAAGGGAAATTTTTGTCCTTTGTGGGTAGAACAACTCTCGTAAAAGCCACACTTTCTAACACGTCTATTTATTATATCTCTCTTTTTCAGGCTCATGCAGTGATCATCAATGAGCTCGAGCAACTAATGTTCAACTTCCTCTGATTTGGCAAGCAGTAGAAAAAGAAATTCCACTTTGTTAAATGGGAGGCTGCCGGTCTTCCTAGAAAGGATGGTGGGCTGGGGATCCACCGATTGAAAGCTGTTAATGAAGCCCTACTGACCAAATGGTGGTCGCGCCTTTCGAACTACCGTTCTCAATTATAGGCTCCGGCCCTTATCGGCAAATATGGAATGGATCCTGATGGGGAGATGAGGACTCGTCGCAATACATTGGTTAACCTGTCCCCAGTCTGAAGGGGCATCAATGCAATGCGACCATTGTTCTTGGGGTATTCTAGAATGCTTCTAGGTGATGGAAGGCGGACTAGATTTTAGCATAATAAGTGGCTTGGGGATATCCCTTAAAGGCAATGTTTCCTGATGTATATAAAAGATCGACTCAAAAGCAAGAAGTGGTAGCAAATTTGATATCCCTTGGCAACAATAGATCATGGTGGAACATCATTTTGGATGTCAGAAGGGTGGATCATCAGATGGCATATCAAATGGCCTATTTGCTTTCTGCCTTATACGGTTTCTGTTTCTTTCCTAGGAAAGAAGATAGACTGATTTGGTCTCTAGAGGCCAATAGTTCTTTCTCATCTCAATCTTTATATCAAATACTTTTCAAAGATAGGTACATTGCCTATGGGTCTCATTTAATTAAATACTAGGACTGTAAGACCCCCTCTAGGGTAAAATCTTTCCTTTGGTTGTTGGGTTCCCATCGACTGCTTATCATCGATCAACTATGAAGGCGGGGTATGATTTTAACTAATATGTATTATGTGTAAGCAGGATAAGAGACCATCGACCATATATTCATTCGTTGTATGGTGGCTGATCAAATGTGGAAAGGGCTGGGTTCTGTTCCCCAGTGGAGCTTCCCACACCCGGAACACATCTTTGATCTGTTGCACCAAGTGCAGTTAGTATCAAACTCTGGAGGATTGCTCTTCCTTATGAAACTTGTGGAAAGAAAGAAACCTTAGAACCTTTAAGAGCCGAAGTAGGGATTTACAAGCTCTCTGTGCAATCATCAAGAGATTCATTATCACATGGGCCTATGCCTTCCTCCCTCTCAAGGCGGTTTCTGAAGATTTGCTCTTTACCCATTTTAGAGAGCTCTTGTTCATTAAGAAGCGCCAGCCTCATTGTGTTTACTCTTGGGTCGGGGCTCCGGAGGACTGGGTTAAGCTTAATTTTGATGGTCATGTTCGCTCGAATACAAGGGCCTATTGGGGACTGCTCAGGAATGACAGTGGGGATATCCTCTAGTCCTACTTTGGATCCTTGTCCTCCTGTGAGATCAACGAAGCTGAATTATGGGCCTTGTTTCATGGTCTGCAAATGCTTGATTTAGTGCATAACAAGGTCCTGACAAAGGGCGACTCAGCTAACGTCATTAATTGGTGTTGCAACCCAGATTCCACGTCCTAAAACCTTATGGATGTCCTTATTCTTTCGTTAGGGTCATGTGAGGGGTCCTTTTGCCATGTTCGTCGGGGATTCAATTTGGATGTGGATGCCCTTGCTAGCAGTGCTACGCACCCACCTTAATCTCTAACCCTTTCTCTCTCTCCCTTTTTCTTTCTTCTTTTCTCCTTTTCCTCTCGCTTTCTTTTCCTATTTTATTTGTTCTTTTGCTTTGTAACGCCTTCGTTACCTTAACGAAATCTTGGTAACATTTAAACAAAAAAAAAACAATTGTCTATGAATCAATGTCTTAAAGGAAATTTATTACCTAATTTTTTGACTACTTAATACGTATTTTCAACTATTTCAACTCATAGTCATGTATATTTTATAATATTTTTAAAATTAAGTAAAAAATATGAGTAAAGTATTGAGCAATAATATTAAATAAATTATCACTTAACTATTTTTTTTATAAATTTTTACATTTAAAAATTGAACTCGTGGACGAAAGTGGTCACTATCTAAAGTGAGCTGGATAGACCCATTTAGTCCGACTCACAATTCTCTTGTGGCTTTTTGTACTCGAAAGAAAAAATTGTTGGAAACTGGGTGATTCTATGGGTCTTTTGACCGTGGAGCCTCCACCCCGCAGTGCACTGGCGGTTTCAACAGAACCGTAACACGCTGTAGACATCGTTAGATGTAGCATGACAACCATCCATTGGCCTTCAAAGTTTCCGGTTTCCTCACCATTTCGTCGTTTGAAGAAGAGAACCCTCTCTTTGAAGCTTTACGGCAAATGGATCGTGGAAACCTAGCAACCCAAGGTTTGTCAATGTCCATGTCCATTTCCACTCCTACAGTGAAATATCCGCCATTAAAGATGCCTTTTCTGTATATGTATTTCAGGTGAGATAGCTAGGATATTGGTCGAGTTCTTGGAAGTTTCCATTACTTCAGTGGTCTTTCTTCGCGGCATTTATCCTCCTGGTACGTTTGATCTTCTTCCTATCCATTTTAATTGAAGTAAAAGGAAAAGGGGTTTTTGAGGGGTTTGAATGGGGACTTTTTTTTCCTATTTCTTTTTTTTCCATTTTCCTTTGATGATCTGAATTTCAGTTTCATTTTTATGTTTTTCCTTTTTCCTTTGGTGTGAAGCTTTTCATTCCATGTTTGTTTGTTACCGTGCAGAAGCATTTGAGAGGCGGCGTTATATGAATATCGCCGTGCAGAGGGCCCGCAATCCGCAGCTCAGAAACTACATACATTCAGCTGTTGCAGGCCTCTACCATTTCATCCAAAAGGTACCCTCTCTCTCTCTCTCTCTGTGGTGCTCTTTTTCTCCAAATGTGCCTCTTCTTTTCTGTTCTTTTTTCTGTATTTTGGGTATGGTCAATTGATGGGAGATTCTAGTGGATTAATTCTCTAAAGTTTGTTTACATGTCCTTTGTTATAAAATATTGTTTAGCATAAGCTTGGATGGGAGTGAATACAGTGTATAGTGCAAGTTATTGTATTACACTACATGAGGAGAAACCGTGGTGAGGTTGGTTGGATTAAGCAGGTCCAGTTCAAACCAAGGACAACCTTTGGTTAGTTCAAACTATGGACCTCCATGGAAATTTCAGTCTTCTTAGTTGTTAATAGAGGGAATAACATTCGTGGTACTATTGGATTTGTTCATGGTAGAGAGAAAGGAAAGGGAATCCTATGTTTTATAAATTTTCAATTGGGATAAAATTGGCTAGAGGGAATATTATAACTCCTCTTTTGGACAGGATTCCCTCATGAGACATTTGGAATTAGAACTCTTCTAAAGAGTCACATGCTTCTCAAAAGGGAGTATCTCTCTACACACTAATATTCCTCGCTACTAGTATTTTCTCTCTAGAAGCCCTAGAATAAGAAACTCATATTAGTGATTCAAGAACTCTCGGGCCTTTCATCAAGGCTCGGGATTTATGTCGTGTATAACTGTATACTGTACTTTTAATTCTTGTACTTAAAAGTCGGCCTAAGAATGCTCGAATTGGAGGAACCATACACGAAAAGGAAGGGAAAGCTCAAAACCAACCACAAGAGAGAAAACGGAGTAAAAAAAGGTATATAATATCTAATTGATCCTTTTATTTTTATGTATCCGCTGCATGGGAATTGCCTGAGGATTCCAAGACTTAATGTAATATATTGATGAATACATGTCTTGTGAAATTGGACAAAACTATGCATGATATTGCCTCACGATCGTTAAAATCCAATGAGTTTCTTCCCCAAATTGCCTATTGACTTTGCGGCATGAGCATTCAGTGAAGGGAGAAATGTTAGGGGTAGGAAGCTGCTTCAGGCTTTGCTGTTACTGAATACACCATGGTCTACCCACCTCTTTGACCCAATTTTTTACGTAGCCAAAAAACTTAAAATGCTTTAGCCAAAAAAGGACTGTTGACATTAGAAGGCTTTAAGGGAGAAGAAATGGATCCACATCTGATTTATACGGGCTTTAATCTTCAACTCTTTAGAGACATGTTTATTGCAATTTAGGAGTGTAGTGGCAGGATTTAAGAATCCTCTTGGATGTAGAAACAGAGCCTCAAAAGTTGGATCCCACTTGGATCGTGTACTTAACTGGCTAGAAACAAATATGCAAGAATATGAATATAATGCAAGAAATAAAGCATAAAAGTACAAGAACATAAGGATTTACTTGGTTTTCTCCAAAGGGGATGTATCCAAAGGTGTAGCAAACTGAAATCCATTGCACTGATAAGAGTTACATTATAGATTTTGGGACACAATTACTTCTCTAACCCTTGACAAAACCAAGTCAAGCAACCCTTTTAGACTAGTTCTCACCGACATCACCCCTTGATCTCCGATTTTTATTCCTCAAATAAACCACTATCTAGAACGAGAACCTTGAGAGCAACTGAGCCTCTCTCTTACTAAAAGGACAAATCACCCAAAATTTTCATGAGAGCCGCTTTTCTACGAGAAATCAACTTCTCACTTTGTAGGAGGCACTATAGTATTGTTTCTCTCTATAGGGAGCTTGCTTCTCTGTTTATAAATGCCTTGCATCTCAATACAGGAAGCCCTTATTTCTCTCTCTTGACGAAGCCACCTTTCCCATAATGATGATCCAATGAGGGCTCTCCTTTCTATGGGGTGATGATTTTGCCTATTACTTTCTCTAACATTGCAGTTTCTTGCTTTGAATGGCTTACAAACCCTCTTTTTTTTTTGATAGTTGTTAACAATTGTATTGATTTAAAAGGATAGATACAAGAGAAGAAGGTTCATCCAAGAGTACCTAAAAGCTGATACTTCTGGTAAAAAAGAATAGGTCGTTGGACCCTATACAAAATGGGGTTAAAAATTATCCCCTTACACTGTAATCAGAACATGTATAAGAGAGAAAACAAAAAGGAACGAATGAGTAGAACAAAAAAGGACCCCTTCTAAGAGGAGATCGAGTAAAGTGCGTGCTTCGTGCCTGACCCAAAAAGAGCTGTGGAAATGTCTATTCATCTGCGTCGGCCATGGCTCCGTCCTTGGCTAGCTGATCGGCGAGCCCATTCGATGTCCTCGAGATATGCGCCCATAAGATTGGCATATCCTTGCAAAGGTCCTCAATCTCATAAAAAATAGGCACTAGATACTAAGGGGGGGGCGCAGTCCTAGAAGCCCAAGAGATAATGTTTCTAGCGTCTCCTTCCACAAGGAGAGACCGTCCTCATGACGGATCAAAACTCTGTATCCCTCTAAGGAGAGCCATAGATTCAGCAAACTGTGAATCTTGGGTGACGAGATATTCGGAGTAGGAAAAGATAACATTTTGAAGGTGGTCTCTAAAAACCCCTCCTGCCCCTGCGTGGCCTGGGTTGCCTAAAGAGCAGCCGTCAAAATTTAATTTGATTGCTCCTTGGGGGGGAGGTTTCGATGCAGATTTCCATGCAGATTTAATTTGATTTGATTGCTCCTTGGGGGGGAGGTTTCCATGCAGGTTTCCATGCAGATTTAATTGTGGGGTAGAATATGCTCTCAATTCGAGAGGAAGGAGTTCCTAGGGATACCGTTGAACCAGAGATGGTTTGATGCCCAAAAGGGTACTAATGATGTAACCTTAAAGTAGAGCGAAGGGCCAGGAAAAGCCTGTCCCTGAAACTTCTGGCGTTCCTTTCTTTCCAAATGGTCCAAATTGTTGCAGCCACTGTTGCTTTCCATAGGATTTTACCCGCCTTCGGCCAGTGCGCAACCAAGTTCAAAGCGAAGAGGTCTTTAACTGTTGGAGGTAGAACCCATTGCACCTCGAACAGTTGTAGAAGTTGACTCCATAAACTATGGGCCGCATTACAATACAGGAACAGATGGTTATTTGATTCCTCTTGGCACAAGCACATGATACACCTATTAGGAATAGGGATCCCTTTCCTTTGTAGGTGATCCACAGTGAGAGCCTTGCTTGAACCTGCGATCCCATTGAAAGTTTGGACCTTTGGAGGCGCAATAATCTGCCCCACCTGAGAAAGGATCGATGTAGGATTGAGAGGGAAAGTAGGGGGTTGGGTGAGCTTTTTATAGAATGAAGCCACCGTAAAATCCCCTGAGGGAGCAAGGGACCACGCCAACCTGTCCCTTCGCTGAATAGGAATAAAGGTTTTGTACCACAGTGACGAGAGAGAGGAATTGATTGGATTCCCCCTTTGAAGGGTTCCTTCGAAAAGAGGGATGCCATCGTCTTCTTCCTTCTTCCAATCTAAACTCATCCTCAACAGTAGTCTCTCTATTCACCGCGATTGAGAATAGAGATGGATAGCATTCCCTTAAAGGGGTATGACTGTCGGTCGACTCGGTCTAGAATCGCACTCTAGAACCTAATCTTGGGCAAAATCTAATATTTTTCTTGAAAAGCTCAAGTGTGGCTGTTAAGGACCTCCACACCCCTGAAGCATTAGACCAAGGTTTGGTCTCTAGGATCTAAGAGTGTACTGGAATTTTGTACTTGTTCCGTAGTACTTGAGCCCAAAGGGATTCCGACTGGGTGGCCAAACACCACCACCATTTCCCTAAGAGGGCGAGGTTATGTTTTCTCAAGTTTCTAATGCCCAATCCCCCTTGGTTTTTGGGTAACAAAACCTTGTCCCAGGAGATAAGATGAAACTTAGTTTTATCTGCTTGTCCCGACCAAAGGAAGTTCCTCATGAGTTGATCAATTCGATTAGCCACCGAGGCCGGAATTTGAAAGAGACACATCAAATAAACTGGTGCATTGGTTAGGGTGGCTTTGATAAGAGTGGTTCTACCTGCTTGTGACAGGTATGTTCCTTTCCAACCTGGCAGCCGTCTGTTCACCTTATCAATGACATGGGACCAGTGTCTCTTTTTAGGTTTTCCGAGGCTTAGAGGGAGGCAAGCCTAGAAAAAGGCAAGCCTAGAGGGAGGCCCAAGTATGAAGTTGGTAGGTCCTCCACTTGACATTCCCACTCTGTAATGAGGTCTCTAATAAGGTTGGTAGTGATGGAAACACCCATCATTTTTTATTTCACCATATTTACTTTGAAACTAGTAGCCATTTGAAAACATTTAAGGTAAATTCTGAGGTTTTCCACCTCGGAGGGGGAGGCATCGAGGAAAATCAACGTATCGTTTGCATATTGTAGATGCGACACTATGGATCCTCTTCTTGAGGAGATAAAGCTAGAGAAAGTTAGCTTGGTAAAGCCGAGCTAGGGAATGGCTAAAGACCTCAGTCGAGATAGGGAAAAGGACAGGGGACAGAGGGTCCCCTTGTTGCTGGCCTCTCGAAGACTGGAAGTACCTTTTGGGAGTACAGTTGATAAGGATAGAGAAGCAGGGGTGAGAGAAGCACCCCCTCATCCATTTACGCCACCAGTCTCGAAAGCCCATACAAACCATATTCTCATTCAGAACTGACCAGTTAACATGATCATAGGCCTTTTCCCAGTCAATTTTGAAAATGAGACCTGGTTTTTTGGCTAGGTGTCTCGAGTGAATGCATTCGTTAGCTATCAAAGCCCCATCAAGGATCAATCTACTTTTAATGAAGGCTGACTGCGAGGGGAGATGACTGAAGGAAGAACCTGTTGGAGTCTAGAGGCCAGAACCGTAGAGAGGATTTTATAAGTAGAGTTGAGCAAGCTTATGGGACGGAAGTCCTTAAGTTCCTCTGCCCCTTCGACCTTAGGAACCAGAGCGATGAACGTAGCATTGATGGATTTGTTAAGAATACCCCACTGAAAAAACTCAACGAAGAAACTTAAGAAATCCAAGCGAAAAGTTTCCC